CTCGGGCTACCTGGAGCACTTCCGGGTTCCTGATGGTGCCGGACCATCAGGAGTGCCGGACCATTGGAGTTTTACTGTACAATGAATGACTCTTACCGTACTTCAGCTTGTGGACATTATCTGACAACAGCCAGCTCTTTACTTCTTTATTTTTTGATACTTTTATTCCAATTTTTCGCACATTACCTTATTTACCATTTTAACCAGTAGCTTATACAAATTCTGTGACTAAGCCTGAACATCATCTTCTGTGAACATTCAGATTTTAATAGTGCCATTGTAGATCAGCAAAGCCTTATAACTCCCACTTAGGAATTTATACAGTCCAGGATTTATACATTTATACAGACCAGGATTTTGTGACTGGAAACGAATTTAACGGAGTGTCACACTATGTCAGCAGTCTGTAGCTTATACAAATTCTGTGACTAAGCCTGAACATCATCTTCTGTGAACATTCAGATTTTAATAGTGCCATTGTAGATCAGCAAAGCCTTATAACTCCCACTTAGGAATTTATACAGTCCAGGATTTATACATTTATACAGACCAGGATTTTGTGACTGGAAACGAATTTAACGGAGTGTCACACTATGTCAGCAGTCTAGGGATGTTAGCAGGTAGTCCGCCTGCCACTCTGTGATTTAAATGAAGCGTGTACAGGGGAGCCTCCTTCCACCTCGCAGTGTTGCCTCTGATGCAAAAGCAGCAGTGAGAGGAAGAAGGCAGGAGCTGGTTCATGTGGGGAGCCAGGTTAAAAATTGGTTCCTGCCTGCTGGCCAGTGCTGCTGCCTCTGTTTCAGGGTGGCTTCAGCCCCTATCTGCTGGGGGCTCAAAGACCCTGCACACAGAGGCAGCTCCACAGGCTGCTGCTGCCACCTCGCACTGCTGCCTCTGTAGCAGAGTGATCAGGAGCGGGGCCTTGAGCACTAAGGATGTTAACCATCAGGTAACTGACTAATTGAATAGTCAATGCATTTTTGCATTGACTATTCGATTAGTCAACAGGCCGCCTCCGCCTTTGAAGTGTAGCAACAGTCTAAAGCTATTGTTACACTTCAAAGGCGAAAGCCGCAAAGCCCAGGGTCAGCTGGGGACTCCCCTGCTGACCCCAGGCTCCATGTGGTGCTGCCGGTTAGAAACACTGCTGCAGTGGCAGCGCTGCACAGAGCCCAGGATCATCTGGGGATCCTCCAGCTGATCCTGGGCTCCCCATGGCACTGCAGCTTTGAAACACCATGGTGGCATTTCAAAGTGGCAATGCCGCACGGAGCCCGGGGTCAGCTGGGGAGTCCCCAGCTTATCCCAGGCTTCCCGCGGCACTGCCGCTTTGAAATGCCATGAGAAGCCTGATGCCATGAGAAGCCTCCCCACAGCATTCAAAGTGGCAGTGCTGCATGGAGCAGCTGACCCCAGGCTCCATGTGGTGCTGCCACTTTGAAGTACTCCTCTTCTTCCTCCCTCCCTCCCCCGTTGGTGCCTCTATCTGATAGAGGCAGTGGGAGCGGAGAGGGAAGGGAAGTAACTAGTCAACTATCCTATAAGCATTTGCATAAGTCTTTCATATCCCTAGTGAGCACACTGGCTGCCAGCCTCGCTCCTGGTGGGAGGAGCATTTTAGCAACTGTGTAACTGCTAAGAATTGTTGCGACTACACAATTACTAAAATAAACTATTTTTAACATCCAAAGTCAGCAACAATTTTCAAAATTAATTTTCACCATTTACAATATTTATTTTTACAGTTTATATGAAACTGTACTGACCTGTTAACAATTCTCCTTTCTTATTTAGTAATGACATATTTAGGTTGCAAACACAGCAGAATATGTGTTTCACTGAAATGAAACACAGACAACCTTGACTGCAATTATGTTTTTTTAAAAGTTATGAAAAACTTAAATGTAGGGTCTAAGATATTATTTGCAAGGTAAGCTCAATTACTAAAACTTTTTGGAATGGCTTAACATTTCTTTGGAAGCTCCAACCATAACTGCACAAGTCTTCATATTATGGTCTGTGGACACATGGCTAGTGCTGTCTCTCCTTGTTTTCATCTGTTATACAGCATTACAGGCAACTAAAAATAAAATATTTTCCTAATAGCACTTTTCCATGTATTTGCAACAAGAAACTGTGTGACAAAGTGGGAGGAGATGCCATTTGCAAGATAATCTCTCTATTAAAATGTGGTTAACCCCATGAAAAGGTTTGGAAAACCTTGGTTTAATGTCAGAGTCTCTCAAGGGGTACACATTAAATTTAATTTTATTTATGCATCATCTGTATCATCTTATTCTCAGCTGTACAATAATTAGACCAGCGGGAATCAGATAAGAGTATATTAAAAATACTTGAGTATGTAATACAAAATACTGAAAGCTAATCATCCACGAGGAGAGTCAAAACAAAACAAAGCAAAGCTACTTGGCAAAGCTTTTTATTCTGGTGCATATATACTAATGGGTAGTTCATAGAATGACATTTATTTTCTTAGCTATATAAGACACCCCTCATAAAATTGTAAGAGACCACTTACAATTGTGATTTGTTGCTGTTGGGTCCTGAATTTGCCATGCTAAGTATGCCACGTCCAGTGTGGGACAGATTTGGCTTGAACTCATCTTTAAAAGGTTTTCCCCAATAGGATTCTCCTCCTAAAAAACAAAACAAACACAAAGAACTCTTTTCTTGTTGTCTTTATAAGTTTTCTTTTCATAATATTCTCGCTGCCTTTTAAATTGCTCCCGGCACTTATACTTACTGGTGGTGTTGCTACTGTGCTCAGATTTCTGAGGCTCCTGAATTCTTTGTAGACATTTTAATTTCTTTTCCCACTACCACTTTGATGCCTGAGTATCCCCATGGAAAATTTGGAATTTTCAACATAACATGCTGCACGCACACTGCTCTCATCAGTTGTGACTGATAAGACTGTCAACTGCATTATATATTCTGGGTACCAAGGGTTCTCAGGGATTTAATTTTTTACTGATGGTCAATCAAACTACAATCTTATTTGTGTGACATTAAATCCTGGTATTTTCCTCACAAAAATAGCGGCAATGAGCAGAAAATTATCAGTTTAATTGCTTTCTGGATATGCTGTTACTGTCAGGTTTGAATACATTTTAAAGCTTTAAATTACTGCTTTAAATACACCTTTATTGGATCAATAAGAATGTAGAAGTTCAACGCCTAACTAAGCAATCTGACACATTATAAGTGGATATACTTCATTCAAACTGATGTGATAACAGACATTCTGCACCAGATTCTTGGCTGCTGTAAAGAGACATAGCTCCATCGAAGTCAAGGGGAACTGTGTAGATTTGTATCAGCTGAGAATTTGGTCCCCTAAGACTTATTTCTTTTCACAAGCAGCAGATAGAAAAAGGGGCTAAGACTGCAGATCTCTCTTCCAGGCTGTTATACATTATTTGTGACAGATCTGACATTTTCACTTTCATCCAGGATCACTCCCAATAAGAAAAAAAAATCAAAATGCTGAGATGAGTCATTTCCATAGTTTTACAGTCAACTCCATAATCTTGTTTGACAAACCATGAAGAATATTTCATCTTTGCACACGATTAGAAAGAAAGCAAACAAAAAAATAAAAGAATTGTGAAGCAGATAGAACAGGTTTGAGAACTCTCTGGAGTAACCATATCACTTGCAAAGGAGTAATTCACTACTGGATCAGCAATATTCAATGGTTATTTGCCCATATACATAGGAAAAAAGTTATGATGCAGTTCGACAGCAAAGCAGAGAGAATATCCACCAAGGAGAATGGAAACAGGCTGCTATCTGAAGCCTAGTACAGAAAACGGAAATGTGTATCAAGTAAGAGACGCTGGAGAAATCTATTCATACTGACTTTATAATACTGTCTAATAATGAAGCATTGCAGATAGACAGCTGTAAGTGCAGATGCATATGGATCTAAACAAATGCGAAATCTCAGGAGAAACTGAACCTCTTACGGACCCAATTAATCTTGTTCAAAAGATCTGTTAATAAAGCTGAATATTGCCAGCTATGCAATTTGACAAGAAGGGGTGAAGAGAGACTCTTCTAATACCATGGGGAGTTCCTGTAAAGAATTACTGATTACATCCTTGATATTTGGCTTCTTGATTATATTAAGATCAGATGAACTTTAGTGTGACTTTATCTGGAAATCTCTCACTGTGTTATATGAGGTGTACAAGAGATCAGTAAGCTGTTACAACAGTGGTCAGCCTTGATACACTGAAGAGAATTCCTCTGAGAAACAGTTTTACTCTAGAGTAATCAGTGGGGCTTTATCCTTGTGTCCTAGTTTGACTCAGGCTTGGACATGCCATATTTGTGTGGTCCCAACACCTCGGATCTGAGCCCTCGGATACCATGATTTTGTGTAATGGAGGGTGGTTAGGCTTGAATCTGAGTTTGAACCCTGGGTTTACACTGAATAGTAGACATATTCTGGGCATGTCTAAACTACATCCCTCTTTCTAAAGAGGGATGTAAATTAGATCGAAATTGCAAATGAAGCTGGGATTTGAATTTCCCACACTTCATTTGCATAAAGGCTGCTGCACGTTCTTTCGAAAATGGATATTTCGAAAATGAAACCACGGTCGAGACGCGGTTCTTTCGAAAAAAATCCCTTTTTTGAAAGATCCTGTACTCCTCAAAAAATTATTGTACAGCTCCTCATTTTTTGAGGAATACAGGATCTTTTGAAAAAGGGTTTTCTTCCCTGAAAGAAATGCCTCTAGATAGCAGTTTCACTTTCGAAATACCTGTTTTCAAAAGAATGTGTGGCCGCCATTGTGCAATGAGGCATGGGAAATTCAAATCCCGGCTTCATTTGCCATTTCGATCTAATTTACATCCCTCTTTCGAAAGAGATATGTAGTCTAGACATAGCGTAAATGTATGGAGTATTTACCCCTTGTATTTTTGAAAAATTGAAGCAATCTTTTTTAAAAGGAGTTGTATATTTGTATATTGTACTAGCCTGTCGGTAAGGATGTTTGAAGTCGGGGAACACTACCGAAAGAGTGGATAAAAGCAGTTACCGTAAATGGGTATTGTGAGGTTAATGCCCCATGCTGTCCTAGCCAGTCATTCCACAAAAGGGCTAGGGGCTGCCTGTATGTGTGTTTAAGCAATTGAAATGAGTCAGAAGAAATTGGAGAGAAGCTGCATTTTAAGGTACAAGCAGATAGTTTTGGCTGTGGATCTGTATGGGTCTTTGGAAGAGAGAACAGGGTTGTTTCTTGGGACAAAGCAAGATTTCTGCCAAATGTAGACTTGCACTATACGTTATCAGCTCTGCTTCAAAAAACAGTGCTCCTGCATTTGTAAATAATCAAACTGCATGAAGAAAATTAATCTTGTTCGACCTGTTAATAAAGCTGAATGATGCCATCTCATTCATTTCTGATCCAAACACAAACTAGATGTGCAAGGCCATGAAAAGCTGTAACTGTTGGACAAAAAGACAATACATACTTGTATGCTCTGGCTACTGCTTGTTTGTTAGGGTAAGGAGACTGTCCCCCTGCCAATCACAATTGCCCCATCTTTCTCTGAACTGCTACTTTGATCAGCCAATTAAATTTGCAGTCCCCAAAAGCCTGATACTATAACAATTGTCAAACTGGCGTAAACTCACTCCACTGCCTTACAGCATCATCAAACTGGTGTAAATGGAGTAAGGAAGTAAGTCCTCCATTTTTACGCTCTGCCTAAATTGGATCCATTTGTATACAAGTAACAAATTTCATTTCAATTTCTCTTAGGAAACAAAATTTTTACTTCAGAGTCTCTTTGAAGAAGCTCCTAATTAACTGCCAAACAAATGTGTACTGACACTCAATTAAAAAAAAAAAAAAATGCTTCCTAGAAATTTTCAGAAACATGTATACAAATGGGTTAGAGTGTACTAATGGGTGGCCAAGATTCTGACACTGTGTGAGGCATTGAAGTTACACTACTGTCAAGATGGTGTCACCAACTGGAGAATAAAGCCAGAGGAGCAACTCAAAGGACAGAGGAAAATTGTGCATGACAGACTGTTCTCCCTGGTCCCAACAAGCAAACAGTAGGAACAGCATGCTGACAGGAGAAAGGAGCCATGACTGTAATGTTTTGTGATATTCATTTTCTTATGATTTCATTCAGGGGCAGACGATGATTTTGCGGGGCCCAGAGCAGCACAATTTCACGGGGCCCCCTTTTGACACGGCGCATGCATGGTGGCGCCACGGCGCATGCGTGGGGCTTCTTGAAGTGCGGGGCCTGGGGCTGCTGCCCCGCTCGCCATGCCCTATATCTGCCCCTGATTTCATTCAAGTTGATAAGCACAGGGCTAGAAATCTTAGGTACATAATAGTTTCAGTTTCTTTTAACTACCTGAAAAGCTAATATTTTAGTAAATTGTTTCAATGTTCAGTTCAGTGCCTCCACTTATCCATGACAAAGCTGTTTCCAAAGCTCATTTGTTGGCCTAAGAGATGGGGGCAAAGGCAGAGTCTCTACAGAACTGATCTAGGAGCCTTGAGGCTGAAATTCTAAACAGAACACATACTATGTCTGTAGCAAGCTCTGCAGTGTAGGTCAGTAGGGATGTGAATGGTTTTACAGGATCCAGGTGGCTAGAGCAGCCCCTGTCTATGACAGGCTGAGCCTGGCTGTACTGCAGGGGTGCTTCAACTTTGCTATAGCAGGGTCGCTCCCAACCAGCCAGATAGGAGATGCCTCCCTCTGACCCCTGCCCATTCGTCCTTTAATCACTTAACTGGTTAAACATTACATTTAACTTAAACAGGAATTTATATCCCTAAAGATGAGTTGAGTGGAGGTGGAGATTCAAGGAGACCTAGGCAGCAATATATTTATTGAATGGGAAACTCATTCAAACTCTTGGCATCCATCTAAGTTACTCAAATAACCCCCACAATCTTCATTACAGTGATAGAAATGTAGCTGAAGCAAAAAACAGGACAATGTAGCACTTTAAAGACTAACAAGATGGTTTATTAGATGATGAGCTTTCGTGGGCCAGACCCACTTCCTCAGATCAAATAGCGGAAGAAAATAGGCACAACCATATATACCAAAGGATACAATCAAAAAAATGAACACACATGAAAAGGACAAATCAAATTTCAGAACAGAAGGGAATGAGGGGGGGAGGTAAATGTCTGTGAGCTAATTATATTAGTGGTGATAATTGGGGAAGCTATCTTTGTAATAGGTAAGATAATTAATGTCTTTGTATAGACCTAGGCGTAAAGTGTCGAATTTAAGCATGAATGACAGTTCAGAGGATTCTCTTTCAAGTCTGGTGTTAAAAGGTCTTTGAAGCAGGATGCAGGTAATTAAGTCGTTGAGACAATGTCCTTTCTGGTTGAAATGGCAAGAAACTGTTTTTTCTTTGTGATACTGTCTAATATCTGTTTTGTGGGCATTGATTCTTTGGCGAAGTGTCTGAGATGTTTTTCCAATGTACATAGCAGACGGAAACTTTCGGCATGATAGCATAAATTATATTTCTGGATGAGCAGGAATATGTGTTTTTGATCTTATAAGCAGGAATATGTATTCTTGATCTTATAACTCACTTGGTTAGGCCCAATAATGGTGTCAGCAGAGTGAA